TGTCAGTTTTGTTTGGATTTTTCCTTTTTTTTTGTCCCAATTTGAATATGAACATTGACTTCTGGTTCCCTGGATTTGTGATAAGAAAATCGATTTGTTTTCCCCAGAGGAATCTGATCTCTCGGGTGTTCTCTTTATGTTGTGGCTTTTGGTCAAACCCTAGACATTTTTAAGGTCATGACAACCACGTCACCCTGCGACTGACAACTGGCAACCCTCTGAAGCAGAGCAGGGGCGAGCCTGGTCTGTACCTGGATGGGAGGCCTCCTGGGAAAAACTGTTTGCTGCTGAAAGAGGTGTTAGAGGGGCCAGCAGGGGGGTGCTCACCCCACATGATACCTAATTTTACATGCCCCAGTGTAAAATAAAGGATAAAATCCTTGAAGGAAATGGGAGTTATTCAAACCAGCTCAGTACACAGAGCAACGTTAAGTGCCTGAAAAGCACTCCCAGTTCCCAGTGACCACTTTACCATTAAGGGATTCTTTGCCCTAATTAAATTTAGTACGGGGGCTGCAACTGTAGCAGACCTAGAAATAAACCATTGATAGTACCTGGTGAAATGCCCTCACCCATTTCTTATTTACTGGTCTTGGCCTGGTTTTGATTGCAACTGGCTTATGAGCCTGAGATCTAATCATACCCATACTGAGGATATAGCCTAGATATTGTGCTTCTCCAGCCCCTTTGCTGCATTTCCACAGGATGGTTGTTAATCCAGCCTCTTGTAGGGAATCAAGAACGGTGTGTACACAGGGCAAGTGAGAGTGCCAGTCAGTACTATGTATCACCATGTTATCTAGATATGCAGATGTGTACTGTTTGTGGGGGCCTAGTATCTTATTTATCATTCTCGGGAAGGTTGCAGGGCTCAGAGAGCAAATGGCAAATCCTTATATTGATAGAGACTCTCAGGCATTGCAAATGCCGTTTTGTCTTTTGGCGCCTGTCAATGGTATCTGCCAATAACCCTTTGTAAGATCTAATGTGATGATATATCTGGCTGAAACTCACATTAGCTCATCAACTCTAGGCATGGGATATCCATTGAACTTAGAAATACTGTTAAGTTTTCTATAATCATCACAAAAACATATAGAACCATTTGGTTTTGAGGCCAACACTGTGGGGGGTAGACCACTAACTTTGGGATTCTTCAAACACCCCCCACCTGTAGCATTTTCCGTACCTCTGTATTGATCGCCTCTCGCCTAGCCTCCGTTATTCTATAGGGTTTTAAGCACATCTTTTTCCCTGGCTCCATGACTATATCATGTTCAATAACAAGGTTTATCCAGGTGTCTTAGAGAATACCGTCTTGTTTTTAAACAGAAGACTCTTTACTGAGACTTTACAAAGTC